AATCCTTAGGCCAAATATCAAATCTTTTTGGAGCACTATGAAATATTAAAAGAAAAGATCAAAAGTGGCAATTCCAACTGGTCTTCTTTTTTTGAGTAGACACTCTGCGATTCTCTTTTTATTCTATTGATAATTACATCATCTTTACTTCCTTGAAAGGAAAGAATTAAAACATTGTGTACTATAAGCACTGACTGGTTACAACATGAGCAGTGATAGACTTAGGCTTATGTCTCGGGACGTAAGAACACAGAAAGCACAGAACAAACAAGTTTAAACTTCTTGTCGATAACGATTAGGTTTTTTCTAAATATTTTGGAAATTTGAAAAAAGAATCTGAGATGGCTTTTTGCAATGTTACTACCTTAATCATGGTAATTTCCTTTTATATTCCTTGTCATTTCTTGACTCTTTTCGACGTAAAATGAAGTCAAACTTTGTTCCAAAGGAATTTGTAATTTTGACCAAAAACGCTTTGGAAGGGCGGAGAAAAGCTTGTGGAATGTCAGAAGACAACAGGTCAAACCATAAGACCCTCCTCCTCCTGAACCTATTTCTGAGAAATTACCTTATCTGCTCGTTCATTTCACATTACAGCTTAATGTGTCAAGTTCATCGCACTTACATTCCTTTCTACTTAAAATGGCGTGATTTTCAATGCGAAACTCTTTTTGATATTTCTGTAAATGGAGGTAAGTGTGACACTTTCATCACCATGCTCTTTGTAGTGAGATAAAAAAAACTTCTCTTCCCTAGGGCTAGGTGAGCCTCCTTCATTTACAATGAAGTTTGATCTTTTCTGCAAATCCATTTGTTCAGAGTCCAGACTCTTAGAGAGCTCAAACCATCATAAACACCGATACTTTCATCTACAGACAGTTTTAAGGGAGAATTTCTTGTTGTTGTGTATGTCGCTTTTTCAAATGGGCTGTCATATTACGTGTTACGAGTTAATTAAATTTATTCCTAAAAATTAACGACTAGGAACTTCTGAAAGAGTGCCAAGAAAACTAGAAACACGAACACAATTCAGCTTTGCTAATCAACTCATTTTTGCTGAAAATGTACATTTCGAAATTCAATTGATTCTTGAAAGTTTTCCTTTTTCAAGCCCAACCTTTTGTGTGTAATTCAGTACGTTTTAGAGCATGTTAGTGTATTAGCTCAACTGTATTTTTCAGTGAGACAAGGGAACTCATTCATGATAACATGGCGCCCACAATTTTACTGATATCTCTTGCGTGTTACCTCTGTATGGGTGAGTAAAGCTTTACAGTTTTGTTCTTCCTTTTGTAATTTATGTTTAATTGCCCAGCACATCATAGCATCACGACAATATGCATTGAAAGACGATGTTGACTTGAAATGATAGTGCGTGTTTAAACTATGCTTTATTGTGTATGTTGACTCAGTATTAGTTGTTGTCTTGCTTCAAAAAACTCGCCTTGCTGTTGATTACTCTGCGGTTTTGAGTGAAACATAACCATACTAATTGATCTAGTCCACTCTCGATTTTTCCCACGTTTTGAATCTTGAATATGCAAGTTCTCAGATTTGTCTCTTTAATGTATGGCTACTACTGCTCATCACTTGATCTATTCGAGGGATGACTCACAAGCGCTGGTCGGACACACTTGTTTCTACTTGTGCTTTTTTTATTGTAGTTACTCACTTTCTCTTTTACTTAGCGGTGGTGGGTCAAGACAACGAGCTCAAGAATATCAAAATGCTTTTTGTTCCGACGGAAGTTATGAAAGCTCTGCATAAGAACCTCACAGCAAAAGACTTGCCTCCGGGCTTACCCGGCCAGGGCACTCAGCGCTGGACCCCAGTCCAACTCCCCGGTGACAGGACTCATACATTCGAAATTCGCATCAATCCCGGCACGGCGCGGAAGTTAAACATAAACTTTCAGCGTTTTAGAATTGGTCGAGGCCACGGTCTTCTTCTAGAGTTGAAAAATGTATCTCTTTCGACGAAAGGAAAGACCGTGTTGGACAGATTAGTGGAGTTTTATAAAAATTGCGGAGGGGATAGAGATCATCGGCCAGGGACGCATATTGTACATCACTCATTACCCATGATACACCGCCACAATCCACATTCGCTCATATTGCCCGGTGACATTCCTTTGTTGAAGCGGATTCAAAACGCGCTCGAACGTTTTTTTCCAAAGCGCCACGACGGGTCGGTAGACGTTTTCCAGCACAAGGACTCGAGTGGAGCCGTCCATTTTCTTCCGTTTGAGGAAATTCGAAGGGAAGTTAACAATCTTATAAAGAGGACACTGGTCAAGAGAGACTGCGTTAAGATCAGCACAAATGCTTTGACTCGTGCTCTAAGTCAGTTCAGAAGGAAATATGATAACGATACAACAACAAGACCAAGATTAGATGAAGAGAATGATGAAGGTAATAAAACTGACAGTGAAGACAAGCGTGCACATAATGACGGTAAAGGTGAAGAGACAGACAAAGTCAATCAGGAGGGCGGTAAAGGTGAGAAGACAGACGGGATCAATCATAATGACGGTGAAGGGGAAGAGACAGACGAAGTTCTTTCTTTTTCTCGTGATCTTGATTCTCTCAACCCGCATCCAGTCAACAAAGTCGATCTTACTTCATCTTCCGCTATAAACGTACCAAGCGACGCAGCAGCGACGAAAATAGTTTCTGCATTAACAGATTTACGAAAAGAACTTAAAGATTTGTCAAGTGGCCTCATAAGCAAAGTGAGTCAGTCCTTCCCAAACAATTTTAAAGAAAGCGACAACAAGAGCACTTCAAATATTGGAATAAGTACAGATAGGAAAACAGGTGGTTCTTATGGGAATATGGGTAATAAAATAAAAAGTGATACTAATGAAACTACAGACGAGAAAAATAAATCCAACCATGCAAAGTTTGAGACAAGTAAAGTAAAGAACAGACGTAAAAAGATGAATAGTGAAGATGGAGGAAAACAAAACAAAACAATAAACAGAGTCGAGAACAAAAATGAAGACAATGACTATGCTACTAACGACTTGAACATTAACAGCAAAAGCATTGATAACGGCAGGAGCAAAGATGAGAAAGAAATTGCGGTGGTCTTGAGGCTGAAAAATGATCTACAAAAGGCTATGCTTAATTCCCCCAAGACTATTTCGAAAATTGACGGTGATCCTAGTTCTGTTATAAAGGGGAACAATGAACGACCTGTTAATCAAACTGCTAATTTTTTACAGCGACTCAAGACTGCAGAGGAATATAGAGTGACTGCAAACGTATCTGCTCATGCTAAAATTTCTGATGAAAAAAAAAAGGTGAAGAAACAAACGAGAACTAAGAGTACAAAGAATAACGCTAAGAACAAAGGAAAACACAAAGGTCGTCATAGGGATAAGAAAACTAAGAAACAAGCTTCATTTTCGTTTCACTATAAACCAAAATCATCGAGATTAAAGCTACATGCTAAGGGTGGAGATTATCTGACGGCGCAGGAAGGCAGTGACCATAAGAACAAGGGAAAGGGACGACTTGTGCATTTCATTCACATGCGAAGACCAAAGATCAAAGAGGTTATGTTTCCAGATGAGGACGAATCTGATGCGTACAGACAAAGGAATTTTAACGACTCTCCCGTAGAAGCAGTAAACGATGAAGACAGCATAAAAGGTCGACTGCTAAGAAAGTTACGTTGGCTTCGAATCCACGGACATGCACCTGAAGTGCGCAGTCGGAAGAGTCCGAAACTTCGTGTGGTTGTATACAACGATGAAGACGAAGATAGAGAGCCACATCGGGAACGTTGGCACGATAGCAACACCGATGAATATGCGGGAAAACTTCACGAAGATGAGAACGAGACCGACTTAGGACCCGAGTCAGTATCCGAATCAGAACACGTGTCTGACACATCTCATAGCTCAGCGTCATTGTTCACGGATGAGGATAATAACGAACAATTCAGTCAAGGAGAAGCGGGTGTTTCTAAGTCGGACAGTGAGTCTAACATGCAGTATCTATCAGATAGCATAGGAGATGACACCACCCATATAGGACAGAGCGACAGCGGGTCCGATGTGCCTGACTTAGAACCTTATTTGAAAAAACATTATGGTAAGTCGATACGGGCAAGTTTCATCCATTAATGAATATTAGTAGCTCAGACTTTTTCCTTTCAAGGGTGGGATCTATTTAAACAGCTTACTTATGAATCACCCATCCAGAGTTTATTATTAACCATACCTGTTCTGAGTTTGTTTGTCACAATTCTGAATAAGCAACATTGTTCATAGTTTTTGGACCCATAAGAACAGTTACGGTAAACTGACATAACTTTTTCCAATCCGGTGGTGTTTGAACCCTTTTCCATTTAAGGTGCCCATATCAACCCCGATATATATCTTCGTGAGTTAAATAACTACAGAGTAAAGTTTTTTGGATTGTCATTTAATGTGACTGAGAATCCTTGTCGATTTCTTTCTTGGTATCATTGCTGACCTTAGCGTTTGTTATGGCTCATTATTATATGACCCGTCTGCCCCGCTCACGCAACCCTATAGACAACCATGGTGAAAACTGACCTATTTGGTGCCGGACGGGTTGACGTGAGCCCGTCCGGAAGAAGCCACCTTGCTCTGGTGGACTCGAGTGCACTTGTACGGCTTTGTTGCAAAAACATTGTTCGCTGTTGTCGCCAAAAAATGAGTGACAGCAGTGAACAGAGACGAGAGAATAGGTCATTTTTTTCGATGAATGTGAGTTGCTTGTTCTAGTTCGAAAATAAAAGAAAAGTTTTTATTGTACAATTTTTTTGTTGTTTTTCCTCGCGCGCCATCCTATTGCATCATATTCAGGTTAAAACAGAATTTCCGAAACTTTCAAAACTTAGCGGTCAAATATTCATAAAACAAATGCTTATTGACCGAGTTAGGTCGGGCTCGAAGGGAAAATGATTGGCTCTCGTTCATGAAACACTGACCTCGCTGCGCACGGTCAGTACGTCATGGCCTCCAGCCAAATCATGATTTTCCCGTCCCGGCTCGACTAACAGGAACAAAGTATTATTCTTGATTCCTTTTTTAGTTCTAGACTCGATCTTATGCATCACTGAAACACAAAACAGCACCAATAGTTTCTTTGAACCGAAGATAACCTTGAATCGTTACAAAATCATCCAGCACGGCGGCTAATCTTGTACCGAATACGAGTTAAGAAAGCTTTGATTGAGAATCTCTTTAAACAAATGTACTTACATGGCTTCATTTTGCATATAGATGATGAAGAAGATGAAGAAAATGAGGAAATAAAAATGTATAATGAACAAGATGAAATCGATACACGAAAGTTGGGAGATTCGATGGAAAAACGTATTAGTAAGACTCCAAAGGACGATGACAAGATTTTCGACGAAAAGACGAACAATTTTGAAGAAAATAACGATGAAGATTCAGGTAAAATACATATCCACAAAATCCCATTTAAGATCCAAGAAGACTCAGACGGAGTGGACACCAATCTCTTACAAGAGCCTCAACACGATGCACTTGGACTTCAGCGAGTCGTGGGGCCCGGACCCGATTTCTCATCCATGGCGTCACAGCCGATCCCTTTTGCGTCCAATCCGTCTACGACCACTCTAAATCAGAATGCCATGGATATGTCTCCAAACATGGTCGTACCACCCCAACAGTCAATGATGATACCTGCGGCGGGAGAACTGCCCGGAGCGAATGGGGCAACTACACCTGTGGAGAGGCCCAGCCCCGCGGCATTCACAGGGCTGAGTTTTCAACCCAGGGTAACAACACAAATTAACAGTATGATGCCGCAAACACCGTTTCCGCAAGTCAGCAGTATGATGCCCTTGAAATCAGCCGCGTCTGAAGAACCTCAAGTGGCTCCAATAGTTCCCATCATGCAACCGGGGCAAATAAGAGCAGTTATATCACGCAGTAAAACTCGGAATTGATTAAAGCAACACTCAAAACATGATAGCAAGATCTCGGGTGTTGGTAAAAAACACGGCAAATTTAGGAGAAAAGATGCAGTTGACTTGGAAACTAGCCATATGGAAGCCTTAAGGCAGAAATAGTATAGTTCAAGGACTAGAATGTAAGCTCTAAGTTACCTTTGAAAAACTAAAGGTAAGCAAAGGGGTGTTGTTCTTATGACTGTGATTGTTTACAAGTTTCATTATGGCAGCAGTATTTATAGCACATTCTAACTATTTTAGGTTTGATTTCTTGTCGTCACATTTCCTTGAATTATGTTTGTAGGATTAGCATATCGTACTGTTTTTTTGATTTAGTTTTAGTTTGATATTACTATCCAAACCTGTCATAATGCAGATCTGTCAGTAGGCAGCTTTGGGAACTCTGGATAACATGTAGCCATGAGCTTTTTATAGTTGTGCAGATTTCGCTGTACTAAAATCTAACTTGAAACACATACACATTTGAATAGCTATTTTCAATGTATGTCTCTTGCAATTAAATTCTAAACTCCGGATAACGTATTAGCATGGTCCGGATTGGCTTGCTCAATCCGGTTATCAACTCATAAGCTTAGTTTAACCTTATACAGAGATGAATTGTTCCTGGTATCGCTTAGCATTTTTCTTTTTGTGTTAACGTTTTTTTTTAACGTTGTACTTGCCTTGCGGTAACGGTGTTATGTGATCACTTGCCGTGATGGCGGGTAGATGTTCCTTAAGATGCGTCTCTAAAATCCGTCAAGTTCATGGACTGTCGTAAATTTTCAGATGTGAGAAAACATAGAAAGTTCTCAATACTATTTGTGATCAATTAACTATAACGTGTTACCTACTTCTACAAGAAAATTTTAAAGCTTGAAGTGAACTGAAATTAGTTAGTATGATCAATGTAAGCCATGAAACGAATATCTTTACTGCTTGAATAAACAATGAGAGGCTACTTTTACTGAGTGTGGTTTGGGTGTGGTCCGAGTGTGCCGGGGATATTCACTTCAAATTTACCCGTACTCCTCTCCTTTAAAAAGTCTGATACTGCTCTTATTAAAAGAGTAATATCATGCGTGGTTCATATAATTGGTTGCTTCCAAAGAAAAGTACCTTGCCTGATTGGTGGGTTCTGTGCGCTATTTCTACGTTGTGCCAGGTGCCGCTAAAAGAATTCTCCCCTCCCCACCTCTCACGCGGCCAGACCAATTACATTAGTGTGATTGCAAAGTTGGCAGACGATCGTATTATCAAGGGAATTAAATCCAAATTCAACAGCTCCACCCGTTGATTAGCCTGAATTCCATGTGTTCAGTTTAGTCAAAGGGACTCGACAGTAACNGAGAGAACAAATAATAGAAAAAAAATGATAATAGTAAGGTTTAAGAGGGAGTCTGACGACGTGTCGCTAAAAGTACAACTATTGCACCCCTTTAACTGTGTAAATGTCTTGAACAGCTTGAACAGGCTACCTCCTCCCCCTCTCTTAGGGAGTTGTTAGTAGGAGACTTAAGGGGTGAATCCTAAGCTGAACTCTATTATCTCATGTTTGGAGCTTATTACTCTGCTTGCCCTAGTGTATGACTGGCTCTTGGTTTGTGAAGCAAAAGGGGAAAAAATGAAAGGCAGCCCTTTTCTTGACAACCAACAACGCATACTTCCCCGAAGTGAGAGTCGCAGGAACAGGATATGTCTGTGCATGGGGCAATGAAGCCATTATCTGGGTGACCGAGTCCAATCATACGTTCTACGACCTGTCCTTTAATGAAATACGCTTTTGCCCCCATCGCGGTAACACATTTTCCTTCGATCACGTTTCTGAAGTAGTGTTTGCGAGTCCTTTGGAGATTGGATAATTCGGCCCCGTTATTTAGTAGCGGACGGGAGCCCATCAATGGACACCAATTTTTGTGATCTAGGAACTTAAGCAAAGTATTTGTTCCTAAATGCAGCAAAAGCCACAATCCGTTTACTATGCAGCTCTTTTGTCCTGGTATCATTATATTGTCACAAAATGCTGATTAAGTTGCGTGACTATTTTAATCCACTGCGTAATGATGAAAGCTTTAACGGTTAGCCACACAGCCAAAGTCTTTGGAAACCAGTGAGGGTTTGGATCAAATGGATCAATGATGAACTTAAAAACGAGTACATCATCATCCAAGCGTTCTATTACCAGGACAAATATTTCATGTTTTGAAAAATGTTTTTATATTTACTGTTAAATTGAGAATAAGCCAATCACCTTTCACCAGTAATCTCCAGATGTGTTTCTGTCCAAAATTATACTAACTCCCACCCCGCAGATAATTTTTGTGATTCTCGTAAAGAACTTCTAAATGTTTTCTTGATGGCGGTTTTGTACTTAGCCTGTTTGATATGCCTGTCTTTTAACTATTAATGTTCATTTATTATATTGCTTGAAAAGCTGTAATCTGCTTTAAGGCGGTTTGTGGTATATCTGAATTTTGAATAGGGTAGAGTGGGGTAATAGGAAAATTCCACGTTAATTATTCGTAATGCGAGCCACAATTAAAGTCCCAAATAACTCTTCATTAGCAAAGTTAATTGTAGCCCATTCAGGCTCCTGATGTCGCTTCTTTCAATAGGGAAGACGACAAAGACTTGGACAAGACTGTCATTGATCTCAAATTCCGAAACTTTTTTGTTAATAGCTAATTAAGCTTGAAGAGAATTTCAATCCGTTCGCAGAGCGGGCTTTACAATCACCGACACAAGGTTAGAAGGTGATTGATGTGGTCACACAGAGTTGGAATAAGCGACAGTTTACGCACTTTGACTGTATCTACCAATCGTGAAAAGTTATGAAAAACACTCAACTGCCATTTGGTTAACCCTCGGGGCAATTTGATCTTTGCTTTCTTGCTACGTTTGGAGTATAAACAAAGGGAAAAATGGCTTCTCAGAAAGCCATGGACGAATTGGCTCGACAGTCAGGTTTTGAGGATTTGTCGTTTGCTACAAGGACATATCGTCCGGAATATGCTTCCTCTCCAGACCTACGAGGATCATACAGACGTGAGTATCCCAAGGAATCGATTTGACATCCAATAACTTAAACACTAAGTGAACATTTCTGCAATAACTTTGGCTTGACTTTCGTTTCTTTCTAGCTCAGCGCGCGATTCGAACTTCTGAAATGGAATCTACGCTTAGAGCCAAACTTGCTTACACTTCAGGTAAAACAAATTTTGTGTATGCTCTTAAGTCGAGAAGTGCTAAGTTTCTTCTATAATGAGAATTTTGAGAACTATAAAGCTTTGATTTTAGAACTCGATGAAGGCATCTGTGTGCATTCCTTCACGTTAACATCGCGATCATTATAAAGTTGATTCACTGGCTCTGTAAAACTTCATTGCAGTTCTCAAATAACTTCTAACTATCGATGCTTGACGTTTGTTTGTCCCGTGAAAGAATTTAGTCTTTGTAATTTTACTTGTAAAAGTAGCTGTTTATATTTTACATCGATTGATTAACCAGAGCTAATTCTGTATGTGTTGGTTAAATCTACCCAGGGGGGCGCGATCGGGACGGCCGAAATATTTTGACTATACCAGCCGGAAAAACTGAAGATTTGAGCGTAGATCGGCTTGGAGATACACTTTCCTACTTAACGCAATCACCAAGGTATGTAGAATTATTTAAACTTTCAATGATCTTGATGAATTTTTTTGCAATGTTATTTTCAAAATTTCGTGTCTCGTTGTACACTTGTGTGACAGATTCACTTTTTCTGGATTGTTCCGTAAACAAAACCACAGAAGTGAACTGATATTAAGTTATGGACCCTCTCTGTTTTTTAGCAATACTTGGAAAACAAGCAAGCCTAATTTTCATATTGAAATTAGATTCCAGTGGTTGGAATCTCGAACAAATGATCAATTGCGTGACAAAATTCTTTGCCGTAATTATGCTGGTTCGAATGGAATTAAAATTCTTTTATCATAAATCTTTCAAATGACAGGTCTCTAAAGTGCTGTTTATCTTGGATCAAACCTAGTGATGTTTAAAGGAAATTTTAAAATTCCCTTTGGACAAGTAGTTTAGTTTTTGTTTGCTGGAAATTCATTTTAAATTTCGAAGAATACTTTGCTTTCATATCAATTTCATGTCCCTATGAGCTAGCATCAGTATCACTCATATATAACACAACTAATCTCTAATAATTAAAATTTCATCCAAATTTTATTGATCATTGCTAAACTAATTACATTTCAGAATAATTTTTGTAGGGGTGTAGGTTTTAAATTAAATGATAAGGTTATGATAATAAACATAACAAAAGCAGTTACAATTTGTTTTAAATGAATTGTTTGCTAACTACTATCATCAAGAAAAGTGTTAACCTCTGCAGGTGTGGTGGCCATAAGATACAAACTTTTGAAACTTGAATGGTCACTATAATTTGTTATTTAATAATACAGTTGAGAAATCATCGACCAGAATTTACCATAGAGAGAATTAAAACCTAACTTTAAATTGATAGTGTTAGTAGCCATGAAAGTCTGAATAGTAACCCGAAATGAAAAAGGGGTTTTTTTTAATACAATTAGTCATTTAAATATTTAATTTCATCATCAATTGTGATCTCTCATTAGAGACACTTGCTCTTCTTTGTTGTAAATTTTTCTACAAGAACAAGATTTTGTGAAAAAAATTATTGCTTCATCAAATTATGAAGGGATTATGAATACTGCTCATAAGCACAATAAAAATTGATTGCCATTCTTATTCATCATTGTTAGAATGTAGATTTCACCTTTGAAATCCTTTGTCTCTTACAAAATAAATACTTCTCCCTTATTAATCCCAGGTTTGTAATGCAAACCCTTCTGTGAGCCTTTCAGATAAGAGGAGGCCTGGAAATAGTTTTGCTTGGTCACCTCGTGGTATGGGTTGGGGTTATCCTGGCTTCTCAAGTATTTGAAAACTGGAAACAATTATTGTAAACCTAACAACACCATAAATCCTGGCTAAAACAAATTTTCTTTTAAGGGATGGAAGACAAGGACAGATGTACATGGTTATCATTGACCTTAGGGGCTCATCCTGGAAATCTGCAAAACCTCTACTTAGAACTCTTCAGGTTGGTAACAATCACTAGTTAGCTGCTGTATGCAGTATGCTTAGAACTCTTCAGTTCAGTAACAATCACTAGTTAGCTGCTGTTTGCAGTATGCTTAGAACTCTTCAGTTCAGTAACAATCACTAGTTAGCTGCTGTTTGCAGTATGCTTAGAACTCTTCAGTTCAGTAACAATCACTAGGTAGCTGTAGTTTGCAGTATGCTTAGAACTTGTCATTTCAGTAACGATCACTAGTTAGCTGCTGTTTGCAGTATGCTTAGAAGTCATTAGGTGAGTAACAATTGTAAATTAGCTCTAGTACATTATGCTTAGAACTCTTCGAGTCAGACATGATCAGTTATTAGTTCAGTGTACAGTGTGCTTAGGACTCTTCATGTAGGTAATAATCATTAATTGGCTATAGAAGAACTCTTTTGGTTAATGATAATTATTAATTAGCTCCGGTGTACTACATGTACTTTACAGCTTTCCATAGAGCTGCTGTAATATGTGCTGGATATCGATCTTCTAGTTTTGGGACGGAATTAACTATTCTTTTC